TATTTAATCTTATAAAATTACATAAACTGATAATATAATTAGTTTTGTAAGATAATTAGAAATATAAAGTTTCATCCTGGAGAAATAAAATTTGATCGGTGTCACGTGACTGCGGACTTGGATAAAATGTCTGGGACATAAAAATTTCTGGACATAGACACGGACTGTCCCGTCCCGGACGTTCAACGTCCATGTCCATGTCCCATAACAACACTGCAAATAAGCCACTTGAAAACAAGTTTAAAACAAAGCAAAACAAACAATGACTTTACTGATCACATATATAAAGGTACAAACTCCAAAAATTGTCACTAAAAATAAATCTACCTTTAAGATTAACAGAGAATAAATGACGATTCGAGTCTGGCGGAATCGGTGAAGATGACTTTAAGAAGAATAAAAAAAAAGATAATAGAAGAGTGGTTAAGCGAATCGAAAGAAACCAAACAACCTGAACATTCTCGTGGTAAGTGTTATCTAACTTGTTAAGGTAGACCACGTAAAAGCGCTTATCCTGTCATTACTATAAATCAAAAGAAAAAGAAAGGTTAAGCGAATCGAAAGAAACCAAACAACCTGATCATTTTCATGGAAAGTGTTACCTAACTTGTTAAGGTAGACCACGTAAAAGTGCTTATCCTGTTATTACTATAAATCAAAAGAAACAGACTTGTATGTGGTTCTCCAATTGACACGCAACGCTACTGAAATTGAGATTAAATCAAGTTACAAGAAACTTGCTCTGAAGTATCATCCTGATAAGAATGGCGGTGTTGAAACCGAACAGGTGAGCATATCAGATTTTATTTTTTTAAATACCGTTCATATACTATATTAACTTAATGTTATAATTACAGTGGACTAAACTTTCAAAGGCATATCAAATCCTCTTAGATAAGAACAGTCGCGTATTTTACGATAACTACAGAATAGTCAACAGCGATAGATTTCAATCTTTTTTGTATTTAATAATTTTCATTTCTCTTGAATCATCTAATTTGAATTGATTTTAGCCTTTGCAAATAAAGCATCGTTCAACTGCTATGTAGGAGGAGAACTTTGGAAACCCTACATCAGTGACCTGAAAATTGGTCTCTGGATACACTCATTTGATAGTAATAGTTTACCCGAATTAGAACATATAACCTCAGTTGAGCAGAAAGAACGTCGTCATAACATTCGTATTCGCAATATAACTAGTCATCTGCAAGACAAACTTTCTCAATTACCGAAGCCAATTGATCCTTCTTTTCAGCAAATTCTTTCCTTAGAAGCCCAGAAACTTCTTGCAGAATCTAACGGCAAAGAGTTATTAACCTTACTAGGCGAAATTTACATTTCTGAGGCTAAAACCTAATCAAGCAAAGACATATTTTCCAATAACATATTCTCTAATCTTTTTAGTGGCCTCATGTTTACTTGGGATTTAATTCATGAAGTCGTAACAAACAAGACTAATAATGAAGAAGTAAAAAGAATAAAAGTGACCTGGAAACTTTCACGATCAGAAATATCTTCTATTACGCATGAAACCTGTAAGAAGGCTTTCAATAACACAGAATATAGTATGGATAAACGCGATTATCTTGCAAATTCACTATTTCACTTAGGCAAGTTGTAGGTGAAATATGCAGATACAGCATTAGAATGAAATTTTGATATTTATATTTTTAATATTCAGTTTATTTATACCTAAATCAAATCTTTATATTATTACATCTACAAAGTTAGCTAAATTTATTAAGGATTGCAAGCGAAATACAGTGGCTACCAAAAGAAACGCAAGTGTGATTGGTTACCTTTAAACAGCTATAACTCATCAACCACAAATGCTAGAAACATGATCTTGTACTTGTTTTAAAGCCCAAATCTTGAAGGATA